TTAAATTATAATTCCCCCCACTGCAGAGCATCAGCTGACCACTCTCAGCCAATCAACTGCGACTCTGCCGGCGGCACTCTGCACTTCCTATATGGGGAGAAGTGGACATCCAGCTGGAGGCAACTTTGGGGTTAAACTGTTCAAGAACGGTTTAACTCCTTGAGGTAAAAATGCCTCCAGGGCAGTATTCATTTTAGCGACAAATTTCAATTTAGTTTTAATCATAGTCTTGACTAAAAAGCCATTTTAGTTTTAGTCGTATTTTAGTCAACTGAATTGTTTTAGTCTACTAAAATTTTACTAAAACTGTTAGTCAACAAAATTATTAACACTGCTCCAGGGGCCTCCTTGCACCTTAACAACTTCATTTAGAAAAGTATCTGCAAGAGAAACAAATGTGACAGTTGCTACAAATGTAATGAAGGGCTTTTGTGCAAACATATTTCAGCTCCTTAAAGAACCACTATAGGCACCCAGACCACTTCAGCTTAATGAAGTGGTCTGGGTGCCAGGTCCAGCTAGGGTTAACCCTTTTTTCTATAAACATAGCAGTTTCAGAGAAACTGGTATGTTTATATTAGGGTTAATCCAGCCTCTAGTGGCTGTCTCATTGACAGCCGCTAGAGGCGCTTGCGTGCTTCTCACTGTGAGAAGACGCCAGCGTCCATAGGAAAGCATTATGAATGCTTTCCTATGAGACTGGCTGAATGCACGCGTGGCTCTTGCCGCGCATGCGCATTCAGCCGAGGAGGGGAGGAGGCGAGCTCCCTGCCCAGCGCTGGAGAAAGAGATAAGTTTAACCCCTTCCTCACCCTAGAGCCCGGCGGGAGGGGGACCCTGAGGGTGGGGGCACCTTTAGGGCACTATAGTGGTCCTTTAAGTATAAGGGTTGCATGATCACACATTTCACAAATAAAGCAAGTGTCAAAAAATGCCTGCAGCACCTGTTTAAGGAGTTAAGAGAATGTACCCTTGGTTTCACTTTAGAAAAATGCAGATTTTTAAGAGTGATTAACACTTTTTATAAATTCTCACGATAACACCTCTAAGTGGTGTGAGCATTTCCTCAAATCAAAAATGAGGGCTTCCCACGGAGAAACACTGGTTTCAACATTTACCAAAGACGACATGCACATGTTCCAACACTTGAGAAATTTTAGGTTTGCTAGAAGATCATGACTAGTAAAGATGGGGGTGGAGCAGAACTGCAGACAGTATTGTCACTGGATTACAGGTAAGTAGTATATTTTTTAGGAAGTGGGCATGATATAAAACTGCAAAGAAACATTCCAACATTAGAAATACAAGTATGCATCTCGAATGTTCAGAGTGTCCCTCTGCAGTAGCCAACACACCTTCTCGAAATAATAAAGGGCTTCTGTCATGAAAGGTTTACTTTGTGGGTTTAATTGTTTTTTTTAAGTTTGATAATCATGGTTTTGTTAATGATGGTTTATACATAAAACATGTTAGCTAGATTACAGCCATTTTAAGTCAGACTAATGTTATCCTACGAACTGCTGCAGTTTCACATAGAACAATCACAGCTGCTAAAGTGTTGCTAACTTTCTGATAAGCACATTGAGCAATGAATGTATTTAAATAATGGAATGTTCCTTTGAAACAGTTCAATTTTTTAAACAATATTTGCAATAAATTACTTTACCTATGTCCCTCTTTGGGATCCAAATATCTCCATGTACAAACATGCAATTGATTTGATTAGAGTCCAATAAAGGAGTGACAGTAAATTAAAAGGACACTATAGTCACAAGAACAACTACAGTTTATTGAATTTGTTCTGGTGAGTAGAATTATTACCTTCCGGCTTTCTGCTGAAAACACTGTCTTTTCAGAGAAAATGCAGTGTTTACATTACAGCCTAGTGATAACTTCACTGGCCACTCCTCAGATAGCTGTTAGAGATCCTTCCTGGGTCATGGCTGCCTAAAATGCATCAAAACAGTCAGTGTCTCCTCCCTCTGCATGCAGACACTGAACAGTCCTCATAGAGATTCATTGATTCAATTAATCTATATGAGGAGATGCTGATTGGCCAGGGCTGTGTTTGAATCATGCTGGCTCTGCCCCTGATCTGCCTCCTTGTCAATCTCAGCCAATCCTATGGGGAAGCATTGTGATTGGATCAGGCTACCACTTCTGCCGATGTCAGTAGGCAGGTCTAAAGGAAACAGTGACAAAGCCAGCAGCTGCAGACTTGAATACAAGTAAGAGTTTATATATTTAGGGAGGCATGTAGTGACCAGGGTGGCTAGATGGTGGTTTTAACCCTATAGGGTTAGGAATACATGTTTGTGTTCCTGACCCTATAGTGCTCCTTTACAGAAACACTGGAATTAATCTGCTCCTCCTAAAGTGGAACATTTAGGAGGAATGCTTAGTGAATAATCAACATGTGTCAATTAACGGTCGTAGTCAGTCAATTAGATATTTGCCTCAAACTTGCTATTTCTACAGTACCTCAACCTTCAGGGATTTCTACATACATACATATAATATACATACATACATATAATATATATATATATAATTTTTTTTTTTTTTTTTTTATTATTTCTTTCTTTCTTGGTATTACAAGGTGTCTTAACAGAGAAAATACATTAAGAAAACAGTATAAATATTTGTACATTAGTATGCATAGGTCAGAAATCACAGAGAAGGCAATATTATAGCAAAAGTATGATACATAACCTACATTGGTAATGAAGAGGAAAGTGTTGCGGTATCATAGGTATAGAGGTCATAGCTAGGCCTTCCTCTAGTCAGTGTATATAGATACTCTGGATCTGACGTTTTGATTGGAATGCCCAGATACAGTTGGCACTGTATATGTATGTTCCCATCATCATAAACCATACTAATGAGCAATAATCACTCCGAATACGAATCTATATAAGGGTATAATTAAGAACTTTTTTTTTTTTTGTCTAGATACATTCACTATTCCAGTGAAATAATGTCAGCATACATCTATAGTAAATCTAATTTGCACGCAAACTGCATTGCACAAATTTATGCAAAATATTATTGAAATAAGTCCCATATATGTTTAACACTTGGAAATGAAGCCACATTAAGCTCACAACAGCAAAGAAAGTGGTCATTGCCAAAACAACAGCAGAGATGTAAATCATTAACTCAAACAATTGTTTTTAGCATACTGTTCAGACTATAAACGTACTTAAATTGAGCAAATTTATGTCATGTTTGAAACATTATCACATGTATACATAAAACAAAAACAATGGCTTAAAAACCATGTTATTTATTGATTAAAACTAAAGTTGTATTAGGCATTTTTTTACATGTTGCCCTATAATTTTCCAAGTTAAACCCTTTGTATCCCACAAACAAATACAAATGTCACCGAAATTAAAGCATTTACAGGATAAAACACAAGTGGACTGCTTGCCTAATGCGTTTTTTTTTGTTTTGTTTTTATGACCTCCTTTAAAACATTTTTTATTGACCAAAAACATGTGGCACTTATTGATTAGGCTGTACATTTAAACCATATGATCACTGGCTAGAACGGTAATAAAACAGCAATTTGCACACAATGTAAGGAATTTAGTTACAGCACAGAATTGGCCTTTTCTACAGACTGAAAAGGCATCCAGCATGTAGAACACAGAGCACATTTGCCTTTTTAAAATTTCCATCATAATAGCATTAAAAAACAAAACAAAAAAAAACCCTATAATTACATACAAGAAAGAAAGGTGAACTGAAAATGAACAAATGTTCGAATCATGTCCAACGCTTCTTATATTCCAGTTGTTGATTCAGCGATAAAACTGCATGAATATTTTGTACTAGCCAAACTTACCAAATGTGAAAACAAAATGTGATTCAATATGGGAGATTTAGCCTTTCTGTACACAAAATATACCTGTCAGTGGCCCATGCACAACTCTCTGACAAACATGGAAGCAGGTTAAATAGCACTCTAAACATCATAACAGCTCAATGTAGCCATTATGGTAACCACCATAAACACTACAGCCCATTGTACTTATGGTACTATATGTGCGTGGGAGTCCTTTTTTGTGTTTTGTTAATGGCCACAGCATCCAATGACTCTTGGCACCACAACAGCTACACCAAGAGCCAACAGTTAAACTACCTACAATGCACCTATTGATCTATAAATTGAGACAATTGTTATTTGGCAAAAGAGACCATTGAAATTAAATTAAAGGAGACCTTGTTCTACACACACGGCTCCAAACTTGCACTTGCCAATAGTTACTGATGAGTAGAAATTTTCCCCTGGTGAGTGATATGGGCCTTCCACTTGTGCGGTGTCAAGTAAATTTTGATGGCTGGTTAGTGGTATAGCATGTGACGTTTTAATCCCTGATACACACATTTGTAGATGCCATGTCCTGACTTTTACCAATGCATTAATTCCATAGGTTTACACAGATTTTAGTATATCAATTAGATATGTGGTAAATAGCTGAAGGTTCCAGTGTTCCATACTGACAGGGCACAGGCACAAAATCACATACTAGGCCCATTGAGAACAACCATAAAAAAAAAGTATTGAAAATAAGTAAAATCAATAAATATATCCAATGCAGGTCTCAAAAATTACAATGTTACATCAACTAATAGAATTATAACTGTAGATAAGAACTATAGGTATAATAAATCAACATGAAGATAGGTCAAATGTTGCATTTTAAGGACCTTATAGGCACCCAGGTGGCTTAAGCTTATTGGAATGGTCTGGGTGCACTGTCCTGCTGTTTCACAGTCCCTACCTCGCCTCTGGGGATGGCGAGGTAGGGACAGTGCAGAGGAATGCTTTAGTTTTGTATTCCAAACACTAAAGTGTTCCTTTAATTTTACTGGGAACTGTTGTGGAGTCTCTACATGTAGTAAATAATGCTGTAGTGATAAACATATATGGGTGTGGTACAGCCTGTTCAAGTGTTTCATTATTGCACTACTAGAGAAAAACAACTATATAGATCAGGGATAGGCATCCTTCGGCACTGCAGATGTTTTGGACTACACATCCCATGATGCTTTGCCAGCATTATGGCTGTAAGAGCATTGTGGGAGATTTAGTCCCCTGATATAGATACGTAGACTGTAAAGCTTGTTGGAGCAGGGTTCTCCTTAACCTACCGTTCCTGTAAGTTTATTTTTTGTAATTGTCCTATTTATAGTTAGTTAAATTCCCCCCTCTTATAATATTGTAAAGCGCTACGGAATCTGTTGGCACTATATAAATGCCAAATATATATATATAATCTCAATATCAATCAAAATTAGAAGAATAGGGTCAAATGCCACCCGATTACAAAAAAAGGGAAAGAAGAGATTGAATTATAAATATTACGGGAGGTAAGCAGTGGAGAATTTTATGCTTTAGGTGCACCAAACATATAATGAATAATTCCTGTATTATTCAATCATATAAATGAATATAGATTAACCCCTTCCCGACCGAGGACGGTTCAGGACAGTCATCGGCATTTTTGCGTTGCCGACCGATGACGGTCCTGAACCGTCCTAACGGTCTGAGCTACTTACCTGATCGCCGTCGTTCCCCCGGCGGCGATCAGCATGGCTCCGGTTGTGGGGAGACTGCCTGCAGCCCAGACAGTCTCCCCACACTGAATTAGGACCCCTGTGGCCATGTGATCGCTTAACACAGTGATCACATGGTCACAATAGGTGTCCATGTGTCTGCCTGCAGGGGGACTGCCTGTGCTGACAGGCAGTCTCCCTGCTAGTGTAAAATAAAAAAAAATAAAAAAGTTAGTGTTAATTAAAAAAATAATAATTATATATGTGTATACATGATATATAGACATATTATAACTATATAATATCTGTCTATATATCATATATATAATGCCATACTAAGTGTATTTTTATATTAATATGTACTTATATTAATATAAAAATACACTTATAATTAAATTACACACGTATATATAATATATATATATATATATAATAACTATATATTGTATATATATATTATTATAAAATATAAATAATAAGTAATTTAAATTAAATAATTTTTTTTAAATAATAGAAATTATATATCTATATGAAATTTTATTCTAACTGTATTTTAAAATTAATATATATATTTATATCAAAATACACTTAGAATGAATTTGTATATATATCTATGTATAAAAAAATAAATAAAAATAATAAGAAATATACATATGTCCATCTACAAAATTACATAAATAATTATATAAATATACACGTAGACTTCAAATATATAAATATGCATATATATTTAAATTCTACGTGCGCATTTATGTAATATTTTTACAAAATTCAGTAATTTTATTGATTGCAATTTGAGGGACCTGCCTGCCATCCCAGGCCGAAATTCCAGAGAATTGAATTTGCTAGCACTGTATTTTACCCTGTAACGTTCTACGACACCCTAAAACCTGTACATAGGGGGTACTGTTTTACTCGGGAGACTTCGCTGAACACAAATATTAGGGATTCAAAACAGTAAAACATATCACAGCGATGATATTGTCAGTGAAAGTGACTTTTTTTGCATTTTTCACACACAAACAGCACTTTTACTGATGATATAATTGTTGTGATACGTTTTCCAGTTTTTAAACACTAATATTTGTGTTCAGCGATGTCTCCCGAGTAAAACAGTACCCCCCATGTACAGGTTTTATAGCATTTTTGAAAGTTACAAGGTCAAATATATGGGTCAAATATTTTTACATTGAAAATGGCCAGGTTGGTTACGTTGCCTTTGAGAGCGTATGGTAGCCCAGGAATGAGAATTACCCCCATGATGGCATACCATTTGCAAAAGAAGACAACCCAAGGTATTGCAAATGGGGTATGTCCAGTCTTTTTTAGTAACCACTTGGTCACAAACACTGGCCAAAATTAGCGTTCAATTTAGTTTTTTTACTTTTTTCACACACAAACAAATATGAATGGTTACTTTGGCCAGTGTTTTCGACTAAGTGGCTACTAAAAAAGACTGGACATACCCCATATTGAATACCCTGGGTTGTCTACTTTAAAAAAAATATGTACATGTGGGGTGTTATTCAGAGATTTATGACAGATAATAGTGTTACAATGTCACTATTGATAAATTTTAAAAATGTATGTTTTGAAACCGCAATATCCTACTTGTACCTATAGCCCTATAACATGCAAAAAAAAAAAAGCAAAAAAGCACGTAAACACTAGGTATTTTTAAACTCAGGACAAAATTTTGAATCTATTTAGCTGTTTTTTTCATTTGCTTTTGTAGATGAGTAAAAGATTTTTCAAGTAAAAGTCAAAAAACATGTATTTTATTTCAATTTTTCATCATATTTTTTTTAAATTAAAATACATGAGATTATATAAATAATGGTATGTAAAGAAAGCCCCTTTTGTCCTGAAAAAAACAATATATAATTTGTATGGGAACAGTAAATGAGAAAGCGGAAAATTACAGCCAAACACAAACACCACAAAAGTGTAAAATATGCCTGGTCGCAAATGTACAACATCGCAAAAACAGTCCAGTCCTTAAGGGGTTAAATCATGTTTTTGATCATAAACATACTGCTACAAATGAATAAAAAAAATAAAAAATAAATCCAAAACACTGCATATATTCAATAAAATTAGATTTTCAAATCGCAGTTATAATTTCAGTTTTTATCCGAGATGTTCAATTAGGTTTTTTTTTATGCAGACAACCACATACATTGCAAATGCAAGATAAAAAAAAAAAAATAATAATATATATATATATATATATATATATATATATATATATATATATATATATATATATATATATATATATATATATATATATATATACACACACACATGCCTAATCATCTGGAATAGAGCCACTGAATGGCCAGAAACGCCAGCTTTGCAAGCATCATCTCCACTATTGAACCACAACTGAGGTTTCTACCACTTTTCAATAAAAGACAAAAGATATTGATATGTAAGAAAGTATGTATGTAGGTTGCTAATAGTATATTATATTATTTCAATTAAACCACCTCTCCTTTATTATAAGCAGTGCATAGACACTTATTTGAGCCACTTATTTGAGGAGGGATAGTCTATATTTTGTCCCCAAATCCATCTGTCCCTTTTTTCTATCCTGATTTCCCTCTTTTCTAGGAGCTCCATATTGTAGATGTTTCTGAGTGTGTAACAGGGCAATGTATCTTTACCCACTTAAGGACAGCTATAGGTCTAGTCAACCATGATATTAAGTGCACTCACACTTATTATATATATCAATTAATTCAGGAGAAATAAGACTTTAAATTTCTTATCAAATAATATATAAGCATATTTTAAAATAAAGAATATCTTAAAAAAAAAAAAAAAGTATAAGAAATTATGAAATTGATAGATTGATAAGTTCTGCATGGAATTTTGACTGTGAATGTCATAATACTGTTAGCTTTTACTGCAATAAAATACACATATTTGTGTTCAGAGATGTCTCGTGGGTACAAGAGAGTACCCCCCATATACAGGTTTTATGCGATTTTGGAAAGTTACAGGGTCAAATACAGGGCTTGCAAATTAAATTCTCTGTATGTTCTGCCTGAGTTGTCAGGCAGGTCTTTCAATATATAATAAAATCACATTATTAAAAATAATACATATACATGTAAAATAAATTATATACATTGCACTCTAGCAAGGGGAGGAAGGTTTTTGGTTTTTTTCTTAAAGTTCCTTCATGTGCAATGGAGGGAGGCAAAAGGGAGCACCCAAAGTGAGGGAGATGAGCGCTAACTTTCCCTTGGAGGTGCTCTTCCTGCAAGGAGATGTTAATGTCAGCAGCTTGCAAAAGATATATTTTATGCACAGAATTGACATTAGACAGTCCGGAACAGAGTTCAATTTTGCCAATATCACATGTGCTGGGGGTGCAACAAGCCCCCCCAGCGCACAAGTGCAAATATTTCAGTATGTGCAGTGTTTCAAGCTGAATCATTATTGCACATACTGACTTATACCACCATGATCACTTTAAATCACGGTAGTTGAAATGACCCTTTAACACAGTGGTTAAAATAAAGTTATTTATTGCTAAAAAAAAATTTAATAAAATACTCAACCAAAAAGCAAAATATAAACAAAAAAATGTATCTAAGAATATAAAGCCAGTAAGCTACTTAGTGCACTACACCTATACATAAGGTCTCAAAAGTGATGCTTGGCAGTGATAAAAGTTTGCTCTTTAAATACATATCTGCAGGATAGGGATTTCTATGAAAGGGATTTGAAATATATATTTGCCCTTTCACAATAAGGCAAGGGAGAAGAACCACATACCACATGCATTTAAATTAACCCAATGTCCTGATTTCTCCAATAGTCAAAACAACAACAAACCAGGAAGCAGACGTGTTTGAGAACTAGATATAGGTATAGAGACATGTATTCAAAATGTTTTCAACACTACTCATTACAGTTTAAAAAAAAAAAAAAAAAAGTTAATACAATGCAAGTTTTTTTATTTTATTTTAGACAGACATTTCATTTTAAAGGAAATAGACAGTGCCCAAATTAAAAATGTATTAGGCACTTGGTTTATCTAGACAAGGTCTTTCTTTCAAATATTGTTTATTATAGGTGGTGGTGGGGTTTCCTCTTTTCATAAGTTACTCAATTACTCAGGTGCATTTCTATCTACCTACCTACATCCAGATACAACTCATCAAAAAAACTGACAACACCATGTACCAAGAAACGATCATGACAAAATGTATCCACTGCTTGGGATGCCCACTAAAATACAGAATGACACACATTTATTTATATGTCTTAAAGGACCACTATAGTCACCCAGACCACTTCAGCTCAATGAAGTGGTCAGGGTGCCAGGTCCCCCAGGCATTAACCCTTTAGATGTAGACATAACAGGGTTAATCCAACCTATAGTGGCTGTCTTCCTGACAGCCGCTAGAGGCGCTTCCCTGAAAAATCGCATTGAGCACGCAGAACGTCCATAGGAAAGCACTGAGAAATGCTTTCCTATGGGCGTTTTTAAAGCGCGCTTACGCATTCAGCTCCACTCGGGAGCTGACATCGGAGAGGGAGGAAAAGTCACCAGCGCCGAGGGAGCCCGGTGCTGGATAAAGGCAGGAGGGGGGCCCTAAGGATAACATAGTGCCAGGAAAACAAGTTTG